GCTTTAGGGCTTAGGGTTCAGGTTGTGGGGGGTTGGGGTTTCGGGTTTAAGGCTTTGGATTTAGCCTACTAGGTTCTGGTGGCGTCGTAGCACAGTGCTTCTAATTGTGGCCATGGCGACCCTGACATGGTCAGTCGGCACCCGTGCTGCCCACGAAACGTCCCCTTAATCGGAGACTGTAAGTTCGATCTCGGGAGGCATCTAGAACAGGCAGGCCAGCTGTCTGGTCTGCTTCCCCCCCGTTTCCCAACCCTCCCCCTTCAAAACCCCCCCCCCTCCCTCCTACCTCCGGCACTCATGACGCGCGTGGTGCTGCACCAAGTCGACACAGGACTTGGCTTTCCTTCGTCTGCGATGCACATGCTGCACCCCACGTTGGGCCACCGCCTACCAAGCCCGGTTTCGGGTCTAGGGTTTAGACCTCTCCAATTCCAGAACTTCTGACCGCAAAACGAAGAGTGAACAGCTCCCACGCCCCTGGAACCCTGAGACCCCAAATCCTATCCGACGAACCAAACCTAAACCCCAAAACAACCAAACCCTAAACCCTAAACGCCAAAAGCCCCGAACCCTAAACCCCCAAACCCTAAACCCTAAACCCTAAACCCCAAACCCTAACTAAACCCAAAAACCCTTAACTTTTAAACCCCAAACAGACTCCAAAGCTGCGAGCCCTCTAAGACCCTAAACCCTAAACCCTAAGACCCCGGCCGTGCCGTGTGTTCCTCCAGCTGAGCCTCGAATCAGGGCAACTCTCCGACGCGCTTGCAAGAGCCCCTAAGACTCCCACACTTTTTGATTGAAAAGGGTTTAGGGTGTAGGGTTTAGGTTTAGGGTTTAGGGTTTAGGGGTTAGGGTTTAGGGGGTTTAGGGTGTTTAGGGTTTAGGGTTTTTAGGGATTCAGGGCTTTGACGCGGGTTTAGGGTTTAGGGTTTGAGGGTTTGGGGCTTAGGGCTAAGGGCTTACGGCCTAGGGTTTAGGATCCCCAAACCCAAACCACCTTCGGCCGCTCTGGGGTTGCTTTAGGGTTTAGGGTTTAGGGTTTAGGGCTCAGGGTTTAGGGTTTAGGGTTTAGGGTTTTAGGGTTTTAGGGTTTAGGGTTTTAGGGTTTAGGGTTTAGGGTTTAGGGTTTAGGGTTTAGGGTTTAGGGTTTAGGGTTTAGGGTTTAGGGTCTAGGGCAACCTTCATATAGGTAACAGCTACCATAGACGTCAGGTGCCATCCGAAGCCTCACAACAGTGTTATCCCCAACTACTAAGAGGGTTTAGGGTTTAGGGTTTAGGGTTTAGGGTTTAGGGTTTGGGGTTGAGGGTTTAGGGTTTAGGGTTTAGGGTTTCTACCGGCGCTTGTACGATGAGGGGGCCATGACTGGGCTTAGGACGGTCATAGGAAAGCCTACTACTTGGAGGGTTTAGGGTTTAGGGTTTAGGGTTTAGGGTTGAGGGTTTAGGGTTGAGGGTTTAGGGTTTAGGGTTTAGGGTTGAGGGTTTAGGGTTTAGGGCTTAGGGTTCAGGATAACTGTACTTATAACCCACTGATAAGCCCCTTAAGTGCCCTTATATATATATATATACACTTGTACGATTATTGGGTGAGCAAGGGAGGACCCTAAACCCTCAGCTCGAGACCCTCAACAGGCTTGGATTCAATGCTGCGGCGGGCACCCTCAACCCTCAATCCTAAACCCTAAACCCTAGACCCTAAACCCTGAACCCTGAACCCTAGACCCTAAACCCTTTCTGCACGGGCTCAGGTGTCGAGGTGTTCCCCAACACCACCAGCGCTTTGGGGTTTCGGGCTTGGGCCTAGGGTTGACGGTTCGAGGTCGGGGTTTGGCCTCTGGGGTTCGGGTTTAGCGTTTCGAGTGTAGCGTTTAGGGTTTAGGGTTTAGACCCGCTCTCATCTTGCAACCCAAGCCCTAAACCCTAAACCCTAAACCGAAAAAACCCAAACCCTAAACCCTAAACCCTAAACCCTAAACCCTAAACCCTAAACCCTAAACCCTAAACCCCAAACCCTAAACCCTAAACCCTAAACCCTAAACCCTAAACCCTACCCCCTAAACCCTAAACCCTGAACCCTCCCATGTGAACCCCTAGGGGCCTCCATAGCGGAGCTGGATCGCTGCACCTGCGAGGGCCCAGGCCGAGCTTCTGGGTCTAGGGTTTAGGGTTTGGGGTTTAGGGTTTACGGTTTGGGGTTTAGGGTTTGGGGTTTAGGGTTTGGGGTTTGGGGTTTAGGGTTTGGGGTTTAGGGTTTAGGGTTTGGGGTTTGGGGTTTGGGGTTTCGGGTTCACAGTCTTTTCGGCTCACCCTCGGCTCGATTTTTCTACCTGCAGCCCGATGTTCAACAAATAAGTAGCAACTACAAGTATGGCATAGGCTGGTTTATTGTTATCATTCTCCGTTACTGGTTTAGGGTTTAGGGTTCAGGGTTTAGGTTTTAGGGTTTAGGGTTTTGGGTTAGGATGTTCCCCCTTATACTAACAGTCCTTAATAGGGATTGTAAGAGGGGATACATGATAATCCCTACTAAGGACTGTTAGTATAAGGGGGAACATCCCAAAGTATGGCATAGGCAGACAGCGTTAGAGAGCGTGGCTTCAGGCTTAGGTTGTGGGCTCAACCCTAAACCCTGAACCATAAACCCTAAACCCTAAGACTTGAAGGTGTGGGAGTCTGGCGCTACATCTAGCCTAGCTAGGCCCCCAAACTACTACACCCCAAAACCCCTGAACCCCTAAACCCCCCAAAACCTGAGCCCTAATCCTAAACCCTAAACCCCAAACCCTGAACCCTAAACCCTAAACCCCAAACCCTCTGCGGCATGGCGTGCTTACCTAAGTAGAAATTGGGACTTTGAGCCTCGGTCTTTGAGGGACTCACGGGCCTTCATTGTGGAGAGTTCAGGGTCTAGGGTTTAGGGTATAGGGTTTAGGGTTTAGGGTTTAGGGTTTAGGGCTTAGGGTTTGGGGTTTAGGGTTTAGTGTTTAGGGTTGAGGGATTAGGGTTTTAGGGTTTAGGGTTTAGGGTTCAGGGTTCACTTTGAGGCACAACTCCCTGGCAGTTATTCGCACCGGCAGGGAGGTGGATAGCACCCTAACCCCTAAACCCTAAACCCTATACAAGTCGGCGCATGCCAGAGTACAGTCTTGTGAAATCTCTGGTTGGGTATGTGGACCTTCAGGAGGGACCCTTGTAAGGGACCTTAGAGGTTACTCAGGGTTGTTTAGGGGCTACGTAGGTATAGGTACTATATAAGATACATATGGGTGGTTGTCAAAACTATGGTCCCTTTTTGGGTACCCTAAATATTAGGTGCCGTATTACAATGGGGATCCAAAAAGGGAGATTAGCGGTCCCTCCTTATTCCCCTTAATGTATAGGGTTTAGGGTTTAGGGTTTAGGGTTTAGGGTTTAGGGTTTAGGGTTTAGGGTTTAGGGTTCGGAGACCTGGGCGAGGAACAAGGCGAGTAGAATAGTTGAGCTAGATTCTACGAGCCGCGCCCGAAACCCGAAACCGGAAACCCTAAACCCTAAACCCTAAACCCTAGACCCTAAACCCTAGACCCTAAACCCTACACCCTACACCCTAAACCCTAAACCCTAAACCCTAAACCCTAAACCCTACCACCCTAAACCCTTAACCCTGAACCTGATCTAAGCATCCAAAACCCAGGAGCCTCCGCTACGCGGGCCTCCAGAAGGGCCATTTTCCTCCACTGGCTTTCGGGTTTTGGGTTTATGGGGGGGGGGGGGTGTGTTGGTGTGCTTGGGAATGCTGTCGGATGTGTGGCTTTGGGAGCTGTTCGCAGCGAACCTCCGGAGAATCCCACAAAACACCCCCAGATCATTGCTACAGTGTCCATCAAATTGTTCAGGCTGATGATTGTTCGAAGTTATACCCTAAACCCTAAACCCTAAACCCTAAACCCTAAACCCCAAACCCGAAACCCTAAACCCTTGGGTTTGTTGGGGCTTGGGCCAGGGACCGGGGCAGTGTCCCACCCCCAAAGTGAGCCATTCAGGTAGGCTCCCAAAGGTCGAAACATGCTGGACCACAGCTCATGATGTGGGCGGCCAGGGCGAAGGAGGCGGCTGTTTCGGTCCTAAACCCCTAAACCCTAAACCCTAAACCCTAGACCCCCAAACCCTAAACCCCTAAACCCTAAGCCCTAAACCGTAAACCCTACACCCATATCCCGAGGCGAAGCCGAGCAGCCCTTCTTGGAGGTGACGCCGCCGGTTGTCGAAGGCCTCACGCACGGAGGGGCATCTGTCCGAATCGCATGCAGCAGGATTTAGGACTGCTTAAGGTTTAGGGTTTAGGGTTTAGGGTTTAGGGTTTAGGGTTTAGGGTTTAGGGTTTAGGGTTTAGGGTTTAGGGTTTAGGGTTTAGGGTTTCGGGTTTCGGGTTTAGGGGCTTAGGGGCTTGGGGGCTGAGGGGCTTAGGGTTTAGGGTTTAGGGCTTAGGGTTTAGGGTTTAGGACTTGGGGTTCTTGAGGCCTTCAGGGCTTTAAGGCCTTCCAGGCTTTGAGGCCTTGCTTGAGGATCTGGCGCGTAGCGCTCCTGTCCTTCCGCGACACCTCCCCTAAACCCTAAACCCTAAACCCTAAACCCTAAACCCTAAACCCTAAACCAAGAGCTTGCGACTTTGTGTAGCCATTGAATGTGAACAGCTGTCATGAAAGGCGTAACTGCAGTTCAGATGGCCTGCCTCACACCGAAAGCCTACGTAAACCCTACACACTGAACCCAAGCAACCTTCGGTCTGGCAACTCTTGCTATGCACTGAGCGCAGGTCGACGATTCGGCTCCTTGCCCGGCCTCTTGAGGACTGGCTTTGCCTTGGCCTTGGCCTTTGCTTTGCCCTTGGCCTTTGCTTTGGCCTTGGCCTTGGCTGTGGCAAGCAACAGACGGGCCACTTCCCTAGAAGAAGGGCCGTGGCTCCATCTCGCGTGGCTTTGTCTGTGTCCACGCCGGAGTCCAGCAGCAACTGTGTCATCTCGAAGTGTCCTCTGGTAGCCGCACAGATGAGAGCAGTTGATCCGTCTCTCGTGGCTTTGTCCTTGTCCGCTCCGGAATTCCAGCAACAAGCGTGTCATTTCCAAATGTCCTTGGGACGATGCCGCGAAAAGAGGCGTTGCTCCGAGTGGTGCGGCTTTGTCCTTGTCCGCTCCGGAGTCCAGCAACAAGCGTGTCACCTCCGCCTGTCGTGGCGGCTTCGTCCTTGTCCGCGCCGGAGTCCAGCAGCAAACGCGCCACATCCATGTTGCCACGCAACGCGGCCAGGAGAAGAGCCGTCATCCCATTTGGCATGTCAGCGTTTACATCCGCGCCAGCCTCAAGCCAGAGCAGTGCAGCCGTTCTGTTGCCAGCTTCTGCTGCAAAGTGCAAGGCTGGCCCACCCTCAATCACCAAGTTGGGATCCTGCAGGCTCTGCAGGGTTGCCTCCATTTGCCCTACGTCGTTCTGTGGTATAGCTTGCTTCGACATTGCAGCATGGTCGAAAGCCGGCTCCGCAAAATCCAATAGAACTAACTGCACTGAGCTGGGTGCTGTGATTCGGGTATCATCAGACAACATATGCCCGTCCTGATTCAGGAGTCGCTGTCGAAAGCGGCTCACTCAGCAGATCGTGTGGAGGCACCGCTTCAAAGCAAGAACATCAGGGGTCCCGTTGCATTCGCCCGTCTGCAGAAGTAGCTCCTCCATCCCGACTCGAGCCACCTCTTGGCCGGTAGCCATCATCCGAACAGACAGCATGGCCACCACAACCTGCCAGAAGCTTTGCAGGAAGATGTTGGAAGCTCCACGTTCCACCTTCTAAGAGCCCTCAAGCAGTGAACATCCTGAAGGCTCAAAACCCGCTAAAGCTCTGAGTGCCGAAAAGGCCAAACAAACTCTTAAACGCGAAGCCCAAAGACGTCCGAAAACCCTGAAGCCCTAAACCCGAAACCCGAAGTCCCAAGGCGCTCTGGAGCCAGGAGTCAAGCGGTTTCCAGTGGCTTTGGCTAGGTTACTAGGAGTGCCTTTAGGGTTTCGGGCTTCGACCTCCACGGGCACGGCCGGCCTGTTGGCACAATTTGGCACACAGGTCCTTTATGTTAGCTGATTTGGAGGCTGCCACCCTAAACCTTAAACCCAAGACCTCAACTCTAGACACGAAGCACCCCGCAGATGTCGAAGAGAAACAATGCCGAAAACAAACTCCTCATACCCTAGACCCTTAACCCATAACCCTTTGAACGCAGACCGATTTTGTGCTTAGGTCTTGACGATGTCTTAATGCACCGAACCTCCCGCCCCAAACCTTGAGTTGAAACTTTCGGTGTCCCTAAACCCTAAACCCTAAACCCTAAACCCTAAACCCTAAACCCTAAACCCTAAACCCTACACCCTACACCCCAAACCCCAAACCCCCAACCCCAAGCCCTAACTCGTAAGCCAAGGCAGCGACTTCACAAGAACTGTGGGGCTTAGGGTTTAGGGCTTAGGGCTTAGGGCTTAGGGCTTAGGGCTTAGGGTTTAGGGTTTAGGGTTTAGGGTTTAGGGCTTAGGGTTTAGGGTTTAAGGCTAGGGTTTAGGGTTTAGGGCAGAGGGTTTCTGGTCTGGGGCTTCTTAGTGGTGAGAAGGTAAGTAGGGTAAGGGCTTACAATTTAGGGTTTTGGGTTTTGGGTTTAGGGTTTAGGGTTTCGGGTTTAAGGCTAAGGGTTTAGGGTCTAGGGTCTAGGGTTTTGGGTTTCGGGTTTAGGGTTTAGGGTTCAGGGCTTAGGACTTCGCACTTTCTCGGGCCTCACTGTTCGAAGTCCGCTGGATAGATTGGTCCTGGCCAGAAATGCAGCAGAAAAGCAGTTGCGCCACTTCCGATTCTTTAAACTGTCCGGGGTTTAGAATTTAGGGCTTAGGGCTCAGGGTTCAGGGTTCAGGGTTCAAAAGTTTAGGGTTTAGGGCTCAGGGTTTAGGGTTTAGGAATAGGGTTCAGGCCTTGGGGCTTGGGGCAACACCCTACATCCGCGACGGCTTCGAGTAACATAGGAGGGCGAAACGCCTCAATGTCGCTTCCGAAGGCTATGCATACTACGATATTGGGGGTACCTTATTGGTCCCTAGGGTTTAGGGTTTAGGGTTTAGGGTTTAGGGTTTAGGGTTTAGGGTTTTTTTTTAGGGCTGCTATGCGCTTCCAACATGCTTGCTGTACATGGGGAAGATATTTGGCGCGCGCGTTGGCGCAGTGCGTAAGAGGTCGCCAAACCGGGTGTCTTTGGATATTAAATGTTTTAGGCCCAGGAAGTCCCTTCGGGCTTCTGGGTCTGTGGCGGAGTGGTGGTTATAAAACCTGACTGCTTCAGTGGAAACTAATTCAAACCAATATCTACAGGGGTGTCCTCTTGTGCGAGCCTTGGTGAATTTGATTCGGTCCTTGTATCCGGGAGAAAAAACTACGTGATGGATGGGGTCTTGTGGGCTTGCTAGAATAGAACTCTGTAGTAATCCAAATTGTTGTGCTAGCAGTGTCTGGGAGGGTAAACATGGCTTACCTGCTATTTTCCAGACCTTCTGGTTGGTTATGTGGGAGTAGTACGAGGATTTGATTTTGATGGAGCGTCTTAGATACCGATGGTACCAGGCGTCAATCTTTTTGAAGGAGTGGGTTTCTAGGGTGAGGACATCTAGGGAGTACAGTAAGACTGGTACTATGCAGCTATGAAAGATGTGGGTTTTGACTTTAATGGGTAGTTTACTCTGCCATATATGTTGGAGCTTCATGAAAGAGGAGTGGGCTAATTCCATTCTATGCTGAATGGCAATTTTTGGCGGAGTAGTCCAGCTGATCCTAGAGCCCAAATATTTAACTTGATCGCTGACTGGCACTGGAGTGCCATCGGCAAAACTGATGTCTGCCTGCGCGTTGGGATGGCGGAGTAGTTCGGTTTTCGTGTAATTGAGTTGTAAGCCATATAGAGATGCTTCTACCTGCACGCATGCTAAAAAAGACTCGAGCTGTGGTGCAGTGACTGCCATTAAAAGAGTATCATCTGCATATTCTAGATCATAAATTGGTTTGCCTATGGACCAAGTGTTTTGCGGAGTACCCTCGCTCCTAAGCCGAGCGTCGATGTCGTGGAACAATACTGTCATGATCATGATGAGTAAATATGGGCTGAGTGGACATCCCTGTCGTATACCGCTTTTAGGCGTGCCCCAACTTTTCTCTTGAGAAAATCCTTGAGTGCAAAATTGTGGATCTGTGTAGAGGTCTTTTATGATTTCAATGTATGTGGGGTGCACTCCTAATGAACTTTTCAGGGCGACCATCATGGCGGGGTGGCTAACTTTGTCGAACGCTTGCTTCCAATCTAAAAAGAGAAGCTGGAAAGGTTGGCCTGTTTTGGCGGAGTAGTCTTGGAGCCTGCGCAGAATAAACAATGGCTGTTTGGTGCTTCTTTTTGCGCGGAAACCATATTGAGTGGAGCGTAAGTGAGAGTCATGTTTAATGGCTAGCCTTTTTTGCAGCATGGCGGAGTAGATCTTGTAGAAAGTGTTTAAAAGGGAAATTGGCCTGTAGTTGGAAGGATCTGAGTCTGATCCTTTGCCCTTGTAGATGCTTACTACGAGTGCTTCCTTCCATGATGAGGGAACCTTCCTGGCTCTAAGGCAGGCGTTCATGAGGCGGAGTAGCTGGGTCTCCCCGTAATGGTCAAGGAGTAATATAAGTTCTCCCTTTACGCCGTCTAATCCTGGGGCCCTGCCTTTTCGTATACCCTGGATGGCAGCATAAAGTTCTTCATGTTGAAAGGGAAGAGGGTCCAGTTCATCCGTCTTATAGAGGGGCGGAGAAGAGCGAAGTAGTTCGATTTCCTCCTCGGTAACGTCCGGTGGGGACCACTGGTTGTTTTGGAGGTGATCTCTCATTAGGGAGTGGCTGCATATTCTCTGTCATTTGCCTGCATGCCAATGCCTGTGATGACATGAACAGTAGTCGTGATGTATTGTGCACATGAAAGGACAGCTGGGCTCCGACATATTGGAAGTCTGACGACGTAGCTTCAACAAGGCATCTCCGGCACTTAATGACACCAGCAATGAAACGACGTTTGGATCTACATGTGAGTCCAAAAACAGCAGCATACTGCGACAGGATTGCTGTTGGCATGAGTATCAACTCTTGGAAGATGATCATCTCATTTGCGCGTGTGCCACTGTACGAGGCCATCGCTCCCATGAAGTGGGTCATGAATGTGGCCGTATTGGGGCGTGTTGCCAAGCAGAAAACAGTGACAAATACCATCCCACGGAGTCGATGATCCACTGAGCCACCAACCACATGTGATATTATTGACATCAAAACAGGTATTGGTACATCAGTACGGCCTTTCACCATCCCGTAGAGTTGCTCTTTTGCCCAAGGAGAAAAAAGCCCCGGCCATTCGATCAACATCATGAGCCTGGCAATATCAATCGCTGTTGGCTCGCCCCTTGGCAACTTGGCCATCGAGGGCCCTTCTGTGCGTTGCCGTGTTGAGGCATGTAGTGGGGTCGATTCAGGGCCACGTGCTAAACAGAGCAAAGTGTCCCCGGTTGCAGGCCATGTCACACTTGGCTCGAGAACAGTGAGCGTGTATTCGTCACAGTCGCGCAAGTCAGCGAGGCTGTCCACACTGTACCAGCACATGAGTTCCTCAGTCAATGGGGATCGTTGACCTACAATCTCCTTGCCAGGAAAATACCCTTGTATCCCAGCTCTAAGGGACTCAACCAGCTGCAACCCACATGAGGTGGAGTATGTGGTGTCATGGCGCATGATTGCTATGCCCTGATCAATGTGGAAAATTGCAATTTTCTCAGCGCGACTGGCAACCTTGCTAGCTATGTCTGCAAGGCCTTGTAGCCTTTGCTCCAGTGAGCGCACATTGGTGAATTTGCCAATGGTTGTGTACTGCTCACCAAACACAGCTGAGAAGAAGATCGCTGACAGTAGACGAAAGTCCAGCTTGTTGAGGCCCACAATGAACTCTTTGAACTTCAACAAATCTTCTTCGACGGTTGGCGATGTTATCGCAAGTATGTCCTTGTTTGGGGATTTTCGAAGGCTCTGTAACATTGCATCGCGTAGCGGTGTGGACGCTGATGGCGACCCCTGGATCGGAATCGCATATGGGGCCAGTAGCAATAGAAGAACATCAAGCTCATCGCTCAATTGCACCCCCCCTTCCAGGTAATGCAAGAACCTAGCTGCGAACTGGCATTTTGGGGCAACAATGAGTGCTGTGCTGACACATGCCTGGAGTGGATCAGGCGATCCAAGAAGGAGCATAGATCTTGGTGTTGGCACAGCAAAACCGCCTATGGTTGTGTCGACAATGAGCATGTACTCAGCGAATTCAACTGAGTCCAAGAAAGACTCCTGCTCCATGGAGAGCTTGATTGGCCGCTTTGTCATATCACAGTAGCGGTACTGCTCAATCGCTGACACAAGGGAAACTCCTCCCATAAGCACATATGCGGTAAGTGACTCAAATGATTCAGCACAAGCAGCTTGTGGCATGGCGGCTGCCGTGGCCACGATACTGTCAATTGTGCTG